CAATTTATAATATGATATATGCTAAGATAAAAAAAATTAATACATATTTAGCAACATGGATTTATGTCCAACAGATCAACTGCTACAAATTTATGTTCCTTTACTCAATATGCCTGCCAAACTATCGATAATAAATTACAGCTTCATGTAATCTATACTGATTTCTTGAAGGCCTTCGATAAACTTAATCACAATGTGCTGCTCAAGAAACTAGACTCTCATTATGGTTTTGATGCAAATATGTTACAATTTTTCCAGTCATGCCTCTCCAATCGTATACTCTGTTGAATACAGAGAGTACCAGTCATATATTAATTTTTAGCTACAAGTGGCGCTCCTCAAAGTAGTAATTTAGCTCCACTACTGTTCTGTCTATAAATGATTTACTCAATCTAATTAAAAGCAAAAAGGTCCTCTTTGCGGATGATTGTAAATTTTACAAAGCTGTAGATACAGTGTCAGACTGCAATGATATCTTGCAACAAGACTTGACAACGCTGTACAACTGGTGCGACTTAAATAAGTTGCCTTTAAATATACAAAAATGTAAATGCGTAACTTTCACTTTAAAAAGTAATGTAACTCAATTTAATTACACAATTAACAACATTCCACTTGAAAAGGTAGATGAAACAAAGGATCTAGGTATTTTCTTTAGCAACAATTTAAGTTTTTCATTCCGTTTAACAAAAACAATAGCCTTTGCAAAGAAAACATTGAGTTTTATTTTTCTAAAAAACTACAAAGACTTTAACGACATTAAATGCTTAGAAACCTATTCAATACTTATGTAAGATCGCGCCTGGAATACTGTTCAATTCTCTGGTCACCTGGATGCAATATTTACATTAACCAAAGCGAATCTATTCAGAGAACAGGGCCCCCGCAAGGGTTATCGCCCGCCCGCGTGCCGGTAATATTTTGGCGCCCTTTGAATATATGTAGTACTTATATAAATAATATTTTGAAGAATAACATCTGTTACATATGTTTTTTTTAAATTTCCTGGTTTAACATTTGAGCGAATTGCGAAACCACATTTTATTTTAATTTTGTAATGGGACAAGATATTTCAAAAACCAATATTTTATTCTTACAAACGAAAAACAAACCAAACAGTAAACAAATAAAACATTCAATTATCCAAAAATTAAATAGGTTTTTTCTGGATTTAGTTGCTGCAAATTCTTTTATAATATTGTCAAAATCAATTTTATCGAGGATCTCTTGCTCTATAGCTAAGATTGCCCAACCCGATAATCTTTCTTGTGACATGGTAGACCTCAAATTATTTTTAATTTTGAGAAGGATCTCTCACCAGAAGCTACAGATACAGGTAAAGTAAGCAGGATTCTTAACGAAATTGTAATATTCGGTAGAGATGAAGTTAGATTGTTTTCAAATATATATTGTAAAATGTCGAGGGGATTTGACGCTTTAGGTAATGAAAACAATCTTAGGGCTTTTATCTTATTAAATGAATCATTTTCTTCAACGTCAGCCTCCTCCTTTTTCTGATCAGTTAGCTTTTGCTGTAGAACACGACAGTATTTTAAAAGATCCTCGTCATTTAATTTAAAAATAATTATTTTAATATATTATTATAATAATTATTTAAAGAACTTAGTGTTTGATCAATTATTTTTAAAAATAAATTTATTTTAAACGCTGTTTTTGGATCTTGAGGTGTCCCATCTCTCTGTCATAATCGAACAGTTTTGGTTTATACTTTCGTCAACAGTATTTAATGGAGGAAAACCTTGCTCTTTCTCAAGAGCGGCTGCTAGTTCTCCAGCCTCAGCCTCATCTTTATACTTTTTAAAACTATCAACTATCATTGTAACTCAGTGATGTGAAGTTAGATATGGAGTGAAAAGAGTCCACATCCCGAACTTAGTAAAGAGACGCACCTCTTGGCGACGTTGTCAACTGCATTAAATCTGTAGGCTGGCTCACGAGCTAGCAGGTGCCTATCATCTTAGGAGGATATACAATGGGCCTAGTGAGGCCTAAGTGCCGTAGGGTAATCCACCCTGCACACGTTACATACCCAGAAGTACTGTAGGTAGCTGTAAATGCATTTAGTTTGCATCCTGATATTAGTGACTTGGTTCCTCGGAGTGAGTTTGTCATATATTTTAAATATTGTTTTGTATTATTATTTATGTACTGTTATAATTCAAATGGTTTGAAAAACAAAATAAAAATACATATTTTAAATAAAAGACTAGGAAATAAAACGATGCGTAATACGTAGACGTAAATTATCACTATAAGTACAGATTCAGAAATTTTAAAAATAAAATATTTACATTAAAATTTACGAACAACGCATTGTATTTTTTTTTTTCATGTAATAAAAATCATAAAACTATCTAATTTCGAACTACTACTTAGCTGAATACAAGTACTTAACTATATTGCAATTTTCACAAAACGCTAATAATAATATACCAAACGTTGCTCTACATAAATTGACACCTATATTTGACGTTAAACCACATCTAAAACACTGAGAAAACTTGGCAGTTTTTTGTCCACGAATCGCCCATTTAGTTTCACTTCTTGGATAGGTATTCTTTGGTTCCAGCAGTATGCCTACTAAAACTATCAGTTCTATTAATTGCATAACCACATACACTAATTTCTGAACTATAAATATCTTCTGTTACATGTGTTTCAGAAAGGCAAACGATGTTAGGTTTTTCTTGTTTAATTAAATATCTAATTTCATCTATATGTGCAGGTAAACTTTGAGCGTTAAGATATAATATAAAATCTATAGGACTTTTAGTTGTTTTATCTCTATTGTTTCCATTAAACGCGTCGGAAAATTTTATTGTCTTGATAGTTTATTTTAACAAATCTAAGGTTGCTATAATTCTTTGGCTTGTTTAGGTTTTTCAATAAATTAAGTACCAGTGCATTTTTAGACAAAAGTTTTCCGTTTTTGTTACTACAATCTATAAAGTAAACAGATGTTTCTGTACATTTATTTAATTTAAAAAGATACTTATTTAACCTACAATTAAATTTATAAACGAATTCGTTGACATTAGAATCATTACAGTAAGGTACTGATAATAAAAATAAATTTGTACGCAGACAAGACTTTAACTTATTATTTAAATTTCTAAATGACAGATATATTTTCTTCTGGAAATCATTTGAACCTACTATAATAATAACAACTGAATCAGTTAGTGTATAATTATGTGTCAATTGTAACAAATTTTCAATTATATAACAATAGCAAGCAAATGGTTTAATAATGGTCTGAACATTTGCATTTAGAACGATTCCTTAATATTTGACCCAAATTATACTCTAACTGATCACATAAAATTAAAATATTGCAAGACTTGTTTTGCATTCCTAGCAACTTGAATTGGATCCTTATATATGCTTCTTCTGAAGATTTTTTGATGTAAAAAAGTCTTTTGATTTTAATTCCTGTCTTAACCTATCTAATTCCTTCATATACGTATTATTTTCCTGTTCTAAGATTTTTATGGACTCTACCGATTTGTCGACTAATTTCATCCAGTTCCTTAATTCTATTTTCAAATATTATTACTATTTTATTTTTTTGTATTTTCCAATTCATTTTCACTTAATTTCTCTTTTTAAATTCACTATTGCATCCCTCTCTGATCCTTTAAAGTTTGTGCATCTCTGTTTTCAGTTTCAAACACTTCATCCTCGAAGTCCCGAGTTTTCTTTTGTAAGAGAGAGAGAGAGAGAGAGAGAGAGAGAGAGAGAGAGAGAGAGAGAGAGAGAGAGAGAGAGACAGAGAGAGAGAGAGATAGACAGACAGAGAGAGAGAGAGAGAGAGAGAGAGAGAGAGAGAGAGAGAGAGAGAGAGAGAGAGAGAGAGAGAGAGAGAGAGAGAGAGAGAGAGAGAGAGAGAGTAACGTGCTATTTTCACGAAACGGGAAAGGTGTATAGCTGTCATGTCTAAATGCTTACGTAAAATCAATTTATTATAATTATGTTATTTAGCAGTTTCTCTTATTTAATTAAAATCAATGTTAAAAACGTTTAAACTGATTACAATTAAATTTTCATTTTATTGATATCTTAATGAGGTATCTTTTAACATTTCCATAGGCGTAACCTCAGAGCAAGTCTATTATTTTTTGCTGAGAAAGACTAACATCCTGTAGACTTTTAGAATGTTTTTTTTGTGAAACCAACTAAAAATATAACTAATTGTTCCTTGATTTTTTCCTATCTCGATTTCTTTTCGTTTTGAATTATATTTAGAGTTGTTTCAGAGACATGAAAAGTTTGTATTTAATTTGTTTTTCTCAAAAACTTAATACGAAAAAAAAAACAAGACAATAGTTATTTATGTACCAAGGCCGTAAAGTTGATCTTTTTTGGTCGAATCAGAAATTTGCGACCGAGGCGTTAGCCGAGGCCATACAACTTCTGGTTAGACCAAAAAAGATCGTACGGCCGAGGTGCACACATTTTTTAGGAGACTGCATGTCTCATCAAGTGAGCCATTTTTTTTACTTTTGTTTTTGAAACCAGGCTTAAATGCAAATTTTTATTGATCGAATAAAAATCTATCATTAAATAATAAAATGTGTACATAATTACTAACGATAAGTATGATAAACATGTATTTATAAAAAGATGCTCTAAAGTAAATGTGGCCAAAAAATTGACACTTTAGAGAGGCCGTAAAGCAAATGCCGCCACTTTATGGATGTTAATAAATCCGTAAAATGTAATTTTTTATGACAGTCGCCTAAAAGTTTTATTTTTAGTTATTCAAAACATCCGTATTTGGGTCTTATTAGATGTGGAGAAATAATTTCTTGTTCATAAAGGAGTAGGTCCTAAAATTATTATAAGTGCCTCTTTGAAACCTGTGCTCGGGCCAAATAGTACAGCCACGGAAAATATATATTTATGAGAGAATGTAAAATAATGTGGAACATAAATAAAAACAACAAAATTCCAAAATAAATATTTATTTAAAAAATGTAAGTAACAGTACAGTTGATTGGCAAACAAAGTGGTGGCACATTTTTATTTGGCTATAAACTAAAAATAAAATAGTAAAAACATTTGACTAGTAGTTTTTTAGGTACAATGTAAAAATGTTTGTGCTTATAACATAAAATTAAAATGATTAGCTTAATATTATAGGAAAAATTCACTGGGTGTTAAGGAGTTATTTAAATAAGAGTAATTTTAAATGTTACTTTGGTATCTTATCCCTTAAATATGACAATATTGATTCGGTTCCTTGCTCTAAAATTGCATATCTTGGTTGCCGAAAAGGATTTCCCTTTATTTCCAGTTTTCTAAAATGGAAGAATTATTGCTTAATAATTTCAGAATCGATCCTAATTTAGGATTGTTAAATTTTTTAAATTAACTCGTAAACTAACCTTAACTGTGTCATATTTCCCAACTCTGGAGGTACATAATGTATATTATTATTACCTAAATCTAAGGTAGCTATTCTTTTTAATGATTTGAAATCATCAGCTGATATTTCTTGAATTCCATTATCATTTATTAACAGAATTTCGAGACCGACCATGCCAAAAATGCAACTGGGAATTTTTTTGAATCTACAAAAAGATACATTAAACAATTATATTTTGAATATTCTTTACTACTGATTAAGGTCATAGTAGCATTTACTAAAATTATTAACATATTTTTTAAATTTTGGCAATTTCACATTACATTTTCAAAACAATCATATTTAATAGTTAGCTATTGGCACCATAAGAACTTTCCTTAGGGGTCATCCATAAATTACGTCACACGTTAATAGGGAGGGTGGGGGAAGAGAACGACGAAGTGTGACATTGTGTGACAAAGGGTGGGAGGGGTCTTACATTTTGTGACGTCACATTTGTAAAAACTAAAAATAATACCGACTTAGCATCAGCTCTAAAACTTCGAGATACTTCGGCATAGAGTAGAAGAAAACCAATCCGGTATACTTGAAGTCATAAAGGATATTGCAGTTTTTGGTGGCGCAGCTGATGAACGACGTCGCACTGAAACTATAAGGTGCTGCAAAACATTGGACGATTTACAGGCCGAAATGTGTAAACAGGGATATAATATCAGTCGACAGGGCTATACTTTAGACTTCTTCCCAGACGAGTCAATACAGAAGAAGGAAAGAGACACGTCATAACTGTTCCCGTTAAACTATGCAAACCAGATTCTACGCTACATTTGAAACATAAAGATGGCACATTCTGTACTGCTACGATAAGAAACCTTGAATCTTTAGCTTCAATTTTGGGGCTGATCAAAAATTACTGGATCATGATTTCGTGGTCGCGGAAATACATAAACTTATTCCTTCTATTTATGCAAGTATTGTAATAAAGACTTTTTCATTACACAAGGAAAGAGCTTCTTTTGCCTATTTTAAACAGCTATAGGCTGCTTATCTCCTGTACCCAAGCTATTAAAAAGTTGAAGAAGCACTTCTTTAGCCAACTTTAAACAGCTATAGGCTGTCTTTCTGCTACACGCAAGCTATTTAAAGGCCGAAGAAGCACTTCTGTCTACTTTAAACAGCTATAGGCTGATTATATTCTTCTTTTTTAGCTGTTTACACTAATGAAAAGAGGCAATTAGACTTCTGTGATATATTGGAATAAATTATCGCTACGCCACTGTGTTAGTGAAGTGTATCGAGGTGTTCTTAGAATCCTTTTTTGTATTGTTTTTTCGGGAAACACATATATTTTTAAATGCTTGTTTTACCACTTCAGTTTCGTTTGTACTTTAAATCGAGTTAGTTGTTATTATAATAAATAATTGTTGGGAATTTAGTTCATTATTATTTGTTGAATATCCCACAACTTCTATTATTCAACCTGGCTGAAGATGTAGCTGATTAGGCGCTACTATAATAGTTAACCTACTTAAACTGTGTTTTTATTTTTATTCTATTTTAAAATATCTGTGATGTTTTATATGTCTTATCGGATTTTACCCTTAAAGTTCATTATTACCTCATAATAATAATAAATCACCTATATGACGAATCTTACAACCATTTTTCTAAATAAGAATTTATCAACAAAGCAATTTTTAGATAGACACACAAAAATAAATTACACTCACCTATTATTGCTTAAAATTAACTCTCTCATTAAAATGAGACCGGATAAACATTCTGGGAGATCTTCCAATTGATTTTTGCTCAAATCGCAAAATTTTAATTTGGTTAAATCCTTAAAAAATCCTGGTATTTGACTAATTCTATTTGCAGACATATTCAGTTCTGTTAAATACTTGGATATTAGAGTCAATCTAAAAATATATAGAGAAAATTTGAATCAAATAACTTTCCGTCATCCACATGGAACGTAAATCCTGACTTACCCAGAGGGAATGTTCACAAATTTATTTTTACACAAATCTACGCTGCTAACACTGGCTTCTTTGGCTTCTAAAAAACATTCGTCTGGTACATCTGAAATATCTTTCATTGCTAAGTTCAAAATGTGTCCATTCCTCATTGTATATCTAAAAACGTATGTTTTATTCTCGGATTATATTTTTGGATTGAACATATTATTAACTTTTGTAAATAAATAAATAAATTTTAAATAGTGATTTGTTAATTTTGCGGAAAAATGTCTCTTAACTTTTTGATGACAAATTGAATTAAGATGTTTCATAAATACCATTTTTTCTGTTAATCTTTTTTGATTTACTCAAAAATTATAGATGTTTGAAAATTAACAAAAATCTAAGTTTTTTGCTATATCTTATATGATGAGAATCCCATTTTAGATTTTGATCTATAACAATATCCAAATATTTAGTGTTTTTTTGTTTTCCAAATGTCAGATGTAGTCCTATATTTTGAAATGAGTCTAAATACCATTTTCACGTCTGTGAAGTCTTCGTGTTTTGAAAAATAACTACTCATTCAATAAAAATACCTTCCCCTTTTCATTACACATAACTGGATTATCGAAAATGGTAAATTCATTGGTTTTTGATACCAGTTTAATCTTAATTTTTCATTCCTTTTGAACTCAGTTCCCAAAAATCCTTCCTACGTTATAACAATAGTATACCTATCATCCATATTTCAGACTATTAAGGAGAGAACGCATTAAGCAATCGCGGTCCTGTAGTATCGCGGTCTGTGCTAGTCACGACCGCACGCAGTGAATATCTTTCCCACTAAGTGTTCTTGAGCTGTGCTCGCTCGCATCACGTTCTCCTCCTATATTTTCCAAAGAATCTCGGGAGATTTCGATACGATTGAGACTAGCACAGTGCGCGATGCGACGGGACCGCGATTGACTAATGCGCCCATCCTCCAAAACACGTTTCCTTTTTATAAAGTTCTTAGTAACATTATGTCTTACCTATCAGGATAAATTTTGTTATCATAAGATACATCAGAAGGTACATTTAGAACTGTCATTTCTTCATCACTGATTTTTTCCCTCAAATATCTAAGTATCCGATTCGTACCAGTGTGAATAATATCAGCCCTTATTTGTTTGAGTTTGTTTCCTTCTAGTTTAAGAGACTGAAGATGTGGCATTAGACCAACTACATTTGGCACACTAAAAAAAAAATCTTAAAATTAAATTATATACAGAGTTTCCGAACTAAGGGTACTCCTTTCTATATGAGATTCACACTGTCAAATGTTAAAAAATGTAACGTTTCCACAGCTCTATTTGCGAAGCTGCTCTCTGACTTGTCTTCAGAAAATCGCATGTTTTCAATTTTTTGTTTAATTTGAAGTGTCTGAAAAATCAGAAAATCTGGCAAAAAAATATATTCGCAAAGTATCTAGGTAGATGAATTGCAGACTATGGTTTTTCTTTTTTTCAAACTTATACTTACCAATGAATGCACATGCGAAATTTTCGATGACATGGTTCTTTCACTTTTTGTTTACGTGTGCGCTATTACTATCATAATTTGAAACTAGAATGAAGATATATAATGCTTGGTATTCTATATTATTGTGATGTTTGTGTATTTTAACACCTATTTATTTTAAACAATACTATTCTAATTTATATACATTTCGAATGTCTTTAAACTGTTCACTATTTATATTCACCACTGTCTATCTACAACTGACTGATCGCTGCGTTGTTCCTCCACCAATATTTATATACAAATTTAAAATTTTGGCGAAGGTACTAGAATTTTCACCAATACTAGAAACATTATCACGTTGACTCTGGAAAGATCTCGAAAGCGCATCCGCCATAGTCGTCACATATGTTTGGTCTAAGGGGGGTTTAATTATGTATGATAATCGGACAAGTTGAGCCTTAAAGGCCAAATGAGTCAGAGAGGGACTTGGAAGAATAGAGCATAACTGAAAAATAAAATGGACCCTGGAACTCTTACGAAATTAAAACGGATTGTTTGTATCTGCAACTGAACCCTCTTTTACAATTTCCAGTTGCATGGAAGTAACAAGGGAATGTCTTTGTTTTAACCTGGACACTGGGCGAATGGCTGCAGACCAGTATTTGGACTCCGGTATCTTGAAAGATTACTTCCACCATGTTCCTAATGATCCTCCAATCCAGCTGATTTCCTTCTATCTTCGGCATGGCTAGTTTCTGTACATTAGACTCCAGTACGTGTTCCTTTAAACTAAGAAATCCTTCCCATACATCACGATAAGTGGATCGATCTTGGAAGGTGTTCTTCGTTATCAAATAGAAAAGAGGTACGGACCTTCCCAAAACCTTTGAAGCTTTGGAGAATAACCCTTTTTTTTTTGGGTTATGGAGCCAGACTTTATCGCCTTCCTTGAAACATCCCTCCGTAGCTTGAGTATCGCACCGTTTCTTCATCCTGTCGCTGGCGATTTGGAGATGCGAGCGAACTAATTTATGCATGTCGTCCATTTTTCGTATGTATTCCCAGGTCGGCATCCAAACTCGAGGTCGCACGGTAGTCTCATCTCACGCCCAAACAGGACCTTTGCTGGTGTTTGGCCTGTTGATTCATTGACAGCGTATCTATAAGACATTGCAAAGAGCGAAAGATACTAATCCCAATCTCTCTAATGGTTTGAAACCACTTTTGACAGATATTTGCCAATGGTCTTATTCATTCGCTCTACCATTCCATCGGATTGTGGGTGCAATGCTGTGGTTCTGGTTTTCTTCATGCCTAGTCTGTCACAGATTCCACGGAAAAGTTGACTTTCAAAATTTCTGCCTTGGTCACTGTGGATCTCTAAGAGCACTCCAAATCGACAGATAAACTCTTTTATTAACACATCTGCAACAGTTGCGGCCTCCTGATTTGGAACGGCATAGACTTCCACCCACTTTGTAAAATAATCCATAACCACCAAAATGTATTTATTACCATCTTCGGTCACGGGGAATGGTCCAGCAATATCTAAGGCGATCCTCTCAAATGGGCTACCTACGTTGTACAGCTACATGGGAGCCTTCCTTTTTCGTTGAGGTCCATTACTCATAGCACAGGTGGTACATTTCTTACACCAGTCCTTTACATCATCGGAACTGTTCATCCTTTCCTTTCCCGAACTCTCTGAAGGGTTTTTCTAACACCGAGATGTCCTCCTGATGGACTGTCGTGTAATTGACGAAGTACTTCAGCTACTCTACTTCTTTTCTCGGAACCATCATCATTTTCAAGAAATCGCTTTAATAAGCCATCTTCCAGAATAAAAGAGTCCCTCTGAGCCAAATATGACTTAAGTACTGGAGAGAGATTAGATACTTCTGGCCAAGTAGGTCGACGATTTTCCTCTTTCCATTGTCGCATCCTCTTTAAAACGGGATCGTTCTCTTATTTTTCCTAAGTTTGGCAGGGGCCTACTCATCGCTGACAACCGACGTTCTTCGTACTGTAACTTTTTATGTACACAAGCAATGCAATTATTTCAAGATATCTCGAAAACGGTTCTTACCATATTTTTTAAAAACTAATGTTAAATAAATCAAGAAGTCATAAAATTTTATAAAAAATCGCTGAATTTTTTGACCGTCTTAGTAAAATAATATCGATATTTAAAATAAAAATATTTTTAAAGCAGTTATCGAGTAGTTTCGTAAAATTATTACAACTTGGCAACATTGTAACCACTTCACGTAACAAAGTAATACTCGATCAGCTAAGAGGTTGTTATAAACTCGCGACGTGTTCTTGAAAAATTAATTCGTCCACTGTGTTTGAGAACTGGAATCAGCGGTTCTGTTTGAATCAAAACAAACCCTTAAAATTAGTATGAGGAAATCATAAATTTCTATACCATACCGTTCATATATTTGCGAGGTTGCCGGATGAATCTTATTAAAATTATAACATGTCCATATGTGTTTATATACATGTGTTTTGTACAGTCTCTTACAAAAACAAAATTGATTAGCATCGAAAATCTCGAACTTTTGGTATTCACCATTATGCGATATTTTTAAGTACGACTGTCGCGAGTGAACTACCTTAACACAATGTACATTGAAAAACCTACAATTTTCGACATAACTAATTTGACAGTAGGAATATCCAGTAGGAGTTTCTCCCTTTAGTTCAGAAACATTCTATAGATTAGTTAACTAGTTAACATCAGGTATTTAAATTATTTTTTCTACGATCACTGTCCAAATTAAGCTTTTGCACATTGCATACGCATGTCTATTTTCATTTAAATTAAATAAAAAAAAAGCTAATCGGTATTTTAAAACAAAATGTAGGCTAATCTAAAATATTTTAATTAAATAATAAATAATTACCGACATGTAACTACTAAAACATTTGTTTCTCTTCGAAGAGTAGGCGTATGTTAAATAAACTTATATAGATATATAGATTGCTAAAAGCGGGTCGTTTGCGAGCGGCCATATTGCCTAGCAAGTGTTCATTAATTTGAATCGGTTTAGCAAAAAGTGTTTTAAAACCAATTACCTGCCAATTATTATTAAAAAAAAAAAAATAATAATAATTGACTACACTTTTCAAGGCTAAGCTTTATTTTTAAATACATGGGCGATCAATCTATATAACTATCTATATCATTGACCCTATCAAACCACACTGTTGCCATATCATAACCTATCATGTGCCTGTCATTTCTAACGGGCAGCCGTTTTGTTTGAAATGACTAATATTATAACGAAAGAAGGTAACCCATTTCTAATAAAATAAAATTATTTAATTTTGGTGTGATCGTAGAAAAAAATCTTGTGTGTAATTTGAGCAGAAAGTCCTCTGGCAGTTTCTGCTCTAAATACACAAATAGCTATTTTAAATCTGAAAAGGCATATAACATAGTTCCACTTACTCTTCAATATCATTATTAGTTAAATCAAATTTAGTCAAGTGAGCAAGTTTAATAATTTCAGTAGGTACCGCCTTTATTTGATTATCCCTTAGTTCTAAGATTTTGAGAGGAGTCATATTTTCGCAAAATTCCACTGGAATTTCCTAAAAAGAAAACGAAAAACAGAAATTATATTGTAAACAAAATAAATCGAGTATATTTCTGTGTACCTGTATAAAATTATTTCCAAAATATATTTCTTGTATCTGTTCGCATCCCATAAAATTAGGAATCTCTTGAATATCGTTATGTTGAGCATGGAATATCTGCAATTTTCTAAGCTCTCCCATATCGGGTAGATGAGTAATACTGTTGTGGCTAATATCTAATTTTAATAAAACTATAAAATAAAATGTAATTTAGTGATATTCTAAATCAAACTGGAATATAATGCTGTTCAGTATCTTTTTAAATCTATGAACGTAAAACATCGCTCGCTTTGTATAGTAATCCTGAAACTGCATCTAAACAGGCTATTTTCAAAGTCAATAGATGCCAAATAAATCGCAATAGACACTTTCTTAGATAGCGATGGAGCTGCCAATTATAACAAAGGCTCTAAAACAGAAAAATGTTCCAGTCACAATATACCAATGAATCTCTGCCAGCCTAGAGAATAGCATTTTATCCATTCTAGGAAGGTAACCATACAGGCAAAAGTTACTCGGGGCTGCCCACAAGGAGAAATACTATCTCCAATACTGTGGTCAGTTCTAGTGAAAGACCTACTCAAAACATTGTACAAAGAAGTGTCTAGGATACGCGGACATCCTAGCCATTATCTTTAGGGGAAGATTTCCAACCACAGACTCGGAGCGATCTCAAACAACTCTAAACTTTGTAAAGAACTGGTGCAAAAAGGAGCAATTGTCCATTAACACACAAAACAAGTTGTACCATTCACAAAAAAAATAACGAGTACTTACAAGACTAAGACTACTAGTATTAAACAATATGGTTATTCCATTTGTCACAGAAGCCAAATACATCGGGGTCATATTTGATCAAAGGCTGACGAGGAATAAACATCTCAAAAAACGCATACAAAATGACCATATGGTTTTACACAAGGATAATAAGACCCATGATAACCTATGGCGCAGTGGCGAGGGTAACCAAAACTGCGCAGGCTAGTGCAATAAGCTAACTTAGTGCATTCAGACATTGTTAATGTAAAAATGTCATTTTAATCTTCGCTTAGTAATTAAAACTTCGTTTAACACAACGATGGAATCAGCCATAATAAAAAAAGACAAAGCTAGATGACGTACTCTATATAATGGAGTCCAATCCTGACACTTTCAAAGTTCTTCTAGTTCACAAACAGCCAACCAAAAATATGTAACGTTATCACTTCGCTTTTCGTTTTTCCTTAGATATTTATACTTTTTTATTGGCGAATCTCATCTATATTATATTTAAAATTTTAACCAATCAAAAAATGAGTATCCGTTTGGACCATATAAGACAAAGCAACCGAAAAGAAGAAGACGACGCAAGCCAGCATAACAACATAAAATTAATGAATCTAAAATAATTTTAGGACCTTTTGTGTATATGTTATGTTGAGTATGGGGTATTGATGCACTAAAAGATCTATTTGCAGCCCCCTTCTGTTGCTAATACATCGAGGAAATAGTCTCGATGCGTATACCGAGCCTACCAATCCTGTATTCTTAAGAAAGTGTATAATTGGAGTGGCTTCAAGTTAGGTAGATCGCCCTCTTCTATTTGGTATGCTCCTAAGTATGATGCTCTTGGAATCTGAAGTGTTACACAGATAGAATGTGAATGGAGGTTTCGTCCTCCCCCTTACAGAATAGGTACTCACTATCATCTACTACTCTCAGATTACTAAGGCGTTCTTTGAGTCGGCAATGCCCGGTTACAATGCTTCCGATCTTTTCTGGTTATATTCACCCAGAAGTATCTTAACATGTCTTAGCCCCAAGAGATTGTTCCAATTATCGGTTGTTCTACAGCCCAATTCTTTTTTAATCTCGCCTAATATTGTGTTACTGCTGATACCGCAGAACGGCTCAGGTCCTGTATGTCCCGGGACCCAAGTGAAAGTAATTTTATTTTCCTCGCCTAACTCATTCAGATTTTCTAAGCATCTCCAGACTATTTTTGAGCTGATTACGTAAGAGATCAGAATTTTAACGGCTGCTTGGCTATCGGACATGATAAGCTCTTGTCTGCAATAATTTCTCTCGCTGTTAAATTGGATACACTTCTCAATGGCGTGAATTTGCGCTAGGAAGTTGCTTGGGTATTCACCCAAACTTTCAGAGTGCCTGGTTGTCTTAGGCCCATACTTTCCTATTCCAGTTCCATCTATGATTTTGGAACCATCCTCATACCACTGAATAGCATGTCTTTTGGTTGTAGGCACGCTGAATTCTTGGCTCCATTCTTTCTGGCAGCACAGCTCTGTGTAGTTATATAGATTGATCGTGTCATAGGGTCCCGTAGCGTCGATCCAATTCTTACCCGAGTTGCAGCTCCGCAACGATACCCTATGTGTATGGACACCATACAAGTACCCCAATTTAACCGAATCCGCAAACACTAATTTTTGCAATCACACATATAGAGTCACTCTTACGTCGACACAAGTACTTGTGGTTTTACATCTGGCATTCATACTCGAAAGCCAGAAAAGTTATTTTAATTTTTAATATCAAATTCATACTAAATAATCAATCACGAAGTAATCCTAAATCTTTCTAAAGTTCGGAGACTAGTTACTCTTTCTCATGGAAACAACTTCCAACATTCATATTTCCGTATTTCATTTATACCTGAATGAAATACCTATATACGCAGAAATATATCAAACATCACAAAAATCCAAATTAATTCGCGTGTCCAAACTATGTCTTATTAATATTTCACACCCACGTACAACTCTTCTAACTTTCTAAAAAGTACTTTATCCTCTAATCAATTTTTCATTATTATTCATCCTAAAAAGACATAGTTTAAATTTCAAATATACAGCCGTTGCAAATTTCAAACGATTCCAAAGAGCTTAGCCAATTACGTAATTGTTTTACCTATGGGCGGAGCCAGGAATTAGAGACATAAATATAAGCGTTTCCCGCAAAAACGGCAGTAGATTTTTAACTTTTCTCGTCGACGGTGCTCTCGCCGCGAATATAGTGCAAATTCGTTTTCTGTGCCGGTCAGTGCATCATTAGCAAAATAAAGGATTACTTCAAGTTTTCAAATTATCACACCACGATTGTCTGAGTCGACCAACATAAGGGTTTACTAAGAAAAGAGGATTCTAGCAAAATGGTTGAGAAATAAGCCGGTATTTGCGCATTCTCTACTGTCTTGCGATCCTCCTACTTAGCGCCCCCCGTGGGATAATTACACTGGGTGAGTCTGTTCTAATTACGTGGGAGACTAGGAGTACATCGTTTCCCATTTAAAAGTGATAGGGCTGTCTCCATTCAATTTCCCTTCATTTTCCCTCCCGCTTGCCAGCATTTTTAGGCGCGGAACCTGTAACGGATTTTCTTTTCACAGGTCGGATTAACAGGTGTCAACGGTCGCAGTCATTTATTTATAGTGTCATTTGTCAATAATATTGTTGGTTGGTAAAGACCTCCGGCTTTGTTTGTTTGTTTATTTATTTTTCAGCAATTTGGAGACGCCCCGTTTAGTAACGTGGCTTTTCTTTTTATTTAATTAATTATTTATATCCTATCCTAGGAATTGTCGGTTACTTGCTAATCGACATTCACCTTCCCCTATCGAACCCGCTTGACTGAGGGAGGCTTTTATTATTATTATTATTATTATTATTTATTTCTTTATTTTTTTTTAATAAATTCATTAGTTTAGAACATTTAACGTCACTTAGTTAACTACTTAATATACGTTAAAATCATTTCAATTCATTTTAACTTAATACCAAAAATGCAACACACAAAGTCAGATAATTTCACCACTGACCTCAGAAGGGCATTTCCTTCAGGGCACGGTACACGGGGAGAGTTCTATGGCTTTTCCCCGGTTACTCCCGCCCCAGAGCAAAATGCCACCTTGTGGAGACAACCGAACTCGGCTATAAATTTAAATGACTTCCATAATTTTCAAAATAACGACACAACCCGACGGTTTGCCAAATCCCCGCCGTCTGGGCCCGAACCTACCCTGAGAGTACCCAATTCGTTTGAATTGGGACTCCAATCACTATATACCCCCATCGAGCGTCGGCCTACACACGGCAAATGTAGGTCAGGGGGAAGTTTCCCTGGTGAAGTGCTTCACAGTGTTGGTGATTTCGAGGAGTTCGCTACGCTCTCCGAATTATCTACCAGTACGGCCATATCTCCCTCACGACCCCTTCTTAGCGAAAGAGCGGGGTCAGGGCAAAACGACCTTCGCCCGAGCAAGACCCGACGACAATCATACATATGTTTTTCAAAATAAACATAAGCTCACCTTGAAGTAAAAATGTAGGTAATTATTTGTTTTTGTATATTCAAAGGCATAAAATTGGTTTCAAATCCAATTTTGCTAAACCGATTCTGATTAATGAGCACTTGCGAGGCAATATGGCCGCTTACAATGCGACCTGCTTTGAGCAATCTATGTAACTATATCATTGACCCTGTTAAACAATAGCTGCCAGTGGGAAAGGCTCGTAAATCTAAGGAAGTTGCGACATAGCCTTCCATATTGGATGCTTTTTTTATTTGAAATAGTAGTCGCGAAGCCTGCCAATTTATAGAAAATATATAAGTGATTTTTTTAAAAATATTATTTTCATTGTCTGACGCAAATTATGTAAATGTAATTTTTGTAATTATGATTTCACGTATGTAGATAGACTACATCGTATGTTGCAACCCTTTAGACATACCAAACCTTAGCACCGCGTTTCATTTGTTTGGAATTCCAAATTAGGCATTCCAACGACCTGTCAAACAATGGGTTAGAAAGGCTCGCATATCTAAGGTGGTTGCGACATAGTCTTCCATCTTGGACGCTATTTTAATTCGAAATAGTAGTCGCCAAGCCTGCCAATTTATAAAAAATGTATAAGCGATTTTTTTTAAATATTTTCATTATGTTCGACATAAAATATTTAAATTTAATCAATTATTCATGATTTCACATATTGTAGACAAGATACATCCATCGTACGTCGTAACTCTTCCCACCGACAGTTCTTTTGTTTGGAATGCCTTATTAATATTATACATATTGAAATGTGTCAATTTCCATAGTCATCGTGGATTTAAAAAGAAACTGAACGGAAATGGATAATTATATTTCTAGAGTAGAAAAATTATAAAAGTGAATTTCACTACTCAAAACTAAAAATGATGACATTTTTTAAAGTGGTTTCTTTTTCGTTTGAGTCATACACAATAAAATTATTATTGGCGTTATTAAAAAAAAAAAAAGATGAAACATGCTGAAGAGGTCAATTTTTATTCTAAATGGTATTCATTATTCTATAAAATTCTCCCACCCTTTATCATAGTTATTATTGCAAATACAAAAAAAAATAGAAGTTGTGACTAAATTTTGTTAAAATGCTATCATTGTTATTTCAAATAGGTAACCCTATTTCAACATTTCTGGATTATATGATCAATTCTACGCATTTTTTATGTAATATGTCCTATCTTTGATGGTTTCTGATAAATTCGAGGTTATACTGTTTCTGGTCTGAAGATAAAATTTATAAAAAGATAATACATAATTATTATAATAAATGTCCAAACTGTATTTTGTCCTAATTAAAACACATGGGGTTGAAGTATTGAAAAAAATCCTAAATCAGAAACAAAAAACGATATCAAATTAAAATCTTCAGGAACAATCAAGCTTTATAAGGGGATGAAGCCTATCGATTCGGAAAAATCTCATTGAAAATGGGGGTTAAGGGGGTTTGTCAAACTGTGAAGAGTATATTATAGATTTCCAAAGCAATATACCATTAGTGCGTAATTGCTCGATAAATCAATTTTTGTTACAGACACACAAACAAGTTTCAAATAAGAGTTATATGGATTTTCAAAATATTTTTGGATGTACAGGATGTTACGCATCCGACTGATAAATAAAAATGTATATTTTCTTAATGGAACACCCTGTATTTTATTTCAGTTTTAGAATGGTCTAGCCATACTGTATTCAGCCAAAATATTTTGGAAAAATATTACAGGTTTGCCAAGCAATTAATTATTCGAACTTAAAATTAGCCATATTTAAGACATGTATATAATAAGTCTGTATTTAAAACAATTTTAAAATTATTGCTAACTAAATTATGATAATTTAATTTTAGGTCTGGATTATTCTCAAATTTCACAAAAAAAATTGCTTGGCATTATATATTTTAAAAACACTTTAGGGTTGAATACAGTATTACCATACCATTTTAAAACTGAAATAAAATACAGGGTGTTCTATTTAAAAAATATTCATTTTTATTTGCCAGGCAAAAACGTAACTGAATCACAACGGAAGGAAATTTCTAAAGTTTCTTTTCAATTATGATTTGGGGTGCTAACTTACGATTTTATTAAAACTGTGACTGGTTGTGGTAAATCAATTTATTCGCTGGCCTGCATACAATTTGAGATACAACTAGTGAGTAGCGGGGAGTTTAGGGCAACTAATGCTTTCTTTTTTGGTGTTGGTGTGGTTTCTTTTACATAATACTGCTGTCACAAAAAAATAATGTATCGTTATGACAGTTACCAAAGCAACTCTTATATACGGGTTAATTACTTTTTCTTGTTAAAAAGTGAATTTTTAACAGTAACAATCAGTATATTCAAAAATATTTTTAAAATATGTCTTTTTCAATTCCATGTAACTTTTATTTGATACTTGTTTGCGTGTCTATAATACAAATTGAAATATCGAGCAATTACGCACTGATGGACACCCTGTATATCTTCATTCTAGTTTTATCTACTTTTGCGTTTTTATTAAACATTGAAAATAATTATCTTTGTCATTTAAATTTAAACCATAAATATTCTAACAAAAATCACCTATATAATATGACTGCATGTACATAAACACCCTTTGAACTCAAATATTGATATAAGATGTACTTTTTAGATTAATAATTGACCTTTCCCAGACTTTTTATAATTTTTTTTTTTTTTTAATAATAATTATTATTATTTTTATTGAACAATCAGATATATTCAATCATACCATTGAGATAGAATAAAGAGATGTTATGACGATGCTAAAGTGTCCGCACCTTTGCATTACACTTTTACGTCATATGTCAAACTGGAGGTGGTGGAGCTAGTCAGTTTTGATGAGAATAAATGCTATTTTTCTTAAATAGCTTCATTTAAATGATATAAATCATTTTCATTCTGTCAGTTGTCAAATATAAAATTATTGACTTCAAATAAATCAAAGAACAACTCAAGTCGCCATTTTTCCGTCACTCGAAGTGCGTCCATCTGACATATATCGCAAAATAGTGTTTATGTCATCTCTACTTTATTCGATCTCGATGAATCATACACATAGTCGGAGAGCTAGTAACCCAAATTTCATTAAGTGTTTGATGCACTTTGAAATTTTATAATTTGAAATCATTTGGATGGAAAAGCAGATATACCTCTGTTGGCTAGACCCACCCCGGGACACTAAGTACTGCGCATAATAGAAAGGGGTCGTAAAATAAGACTCAAAAAAAGTGTTTGATTTAGAGGCCAACAAACAACAATTGAAAGTTTAGGTAATTCTAAAAATACTAGTAATTTAGGCAGACACTTTTGAGAGGGTTTATAATTAATAAATCAACCCCAAAGTTGATTTTTTTAAATATGTTTTGATTTTAATAGCGTCTTAATTAAATATAAAAAAAATTAATTCCAAAAAGGCAGACACTTTTTCCGGGGTTTAATTGCCGGCCAACATAAAAATAAGTCTTATTTACTATAGCGTGTGGCTGTAGGTGTGAGTGAGAGCGCTGATCATTGCCGTTACCGCAGTCTTTTTACAGCTGTATCGGCCGTTCATCTCAATAGAGGACTTCTATACAAGGGAAGTGCAACCAACTTGACAAAATAAAATTGACACTAATGACATAAGGAATCGAGTCACATAAAGAGGCTGAGATACAGATGCTAAGAGTCCTTAATTAGACACCTTGTACTTATTGAAAAAAATATATTTCCTATTTGTTTATCTTTTTGAATTTAAATAAACGAAGTCTACACTGGTAGCTTGCATTTTTAAAATTAGCTGAACTTGAATGAACCTCGTTATGCGCCACTACGCATTGAATAAGTATATACTTTTTAAAAACTAAACATTTTAAATTACCAAGACTGTGAAATAATAAAACAATAATTTTCCTTTTTTTTTTAAGAAAAAAAAAAACTAAATTTTCGGGGCTCGAACCACCAACTTGCTATCCACACTATCCAAATTTTGACCACTGTACGCTCTGCGCCATCGAGCACATCTTGATAGAGGTTTGGAATCGTTTATAATAATATATAACAATTTATTACAAATATTTAGAATTATTACTTTTTAATTAAACAAAAATAAATTGGAAACAAAATTTTATCATGTCAAATGATACCTACATTGTAATTTAATATAATCACATAAATATATGATTTAAAAACTATAAAAGTATCATTATTACTTAATTGTATTAATTTTTAATCTTGAGAGATTAAAAGTTTAAACATAAGTCATCTAAATAAATGTATTTTTTTATAATACTCCGAAATATGAATTTAAAATATACAGCTGTAAAAAGACACGTGACCAATAGTCAATGGGAGCGTAGAAAAAGACTGTAGTAACGGCGGTGATCAGCGCTCTCGCTCACACCTACAGGCATACGCAACCTATCTCTATAGTAAATAAGACTTATTTTTATGTTGGCCGGCAATTAAACCCCGGAAAAAGTGTCTGCCTTTTTGGAATTAATTTTTTTTTATATTTAATTAAGACGCTATAAAAATTTCAGCGTGAATCAAACACTTCAAATTATATTTAAAAAAAATCAACTTTGGGGTTGATTTATTAATTATAAACCCTCACAAAAGTGTCTGCCTAATTACTAGTATATTTAGAATTACCTAAACTTTCTATTGTTGTTTGTTGGCCTCTGAATCAAACACTTTTTTTGGGTCATATTTTACGACCCCTTTATATTATGCGCAGTACCTGGTGTCCCGGGGTGGGTCTAGCCAACACAGGTATATCTGCTTTTTCATTAAAATGATTTCAAATTACAAAATTTCAAAGTGCATCAAACACTTAATGAAATTTGTGTTACTAGCTCTTGGACTAACACTTCAATTATATAAAATAAAATAAATTTTTTGCTAGGTTATTAAAAAGAAAATTGTCGGGTCCTTTTATCAGCACAAGCTGTTTTTACCGTTTTTTCCTCAAAGGACTGAGAAAGAAGAAAAAACGAAGAAAAATTAAACATTAATTTTCCTACCAAAATGAAACAAAACCATTAATTGAAAATTACAAAATTATTTGTATCAAAAGTTTTAGCTTTAGGTTAGCGCATAGTTATTATCAATATTAACTAAATAAATTTTTCCAAAAATAATTTTATTGCATAAGTGGCATTCACACTGAATAATAAATATTTTAATTGATGTAATTTGTAATACTAAAAAAGCGAATACTAACCTCGAAGATTAACAATATCTGGAGGCAATTTTTTAAGGCCGTTATTCGAAACTGATAATTCCGTAAGACGTACTAAAAATCCTATCCCTGAGGGTAATTTTGAAAGATGATTATTTGATAAATCCTAAAAATATTAGTTTTATATAAACAAAGTCTGCAAAAGACAAAGTACTTTTTTTCTACAATAAACATGTATATTTTCTATTTTGTACACAAACTACAGAATGAATAGTAAGCCATATTTATCTACTGAACGGATATAATTTCATATCCACTTTAGAATGAATATGAAATCCACAAATCACAGTTCATGTTTAGTACCCGGCTGACCATTCTTTTTAAAATTTTGAACTGGTGACAATTACATCAAATTAATTACTAATAATTGTTAGTATTTTTTTTATTTATTAAGGTAAAATTAAATTAAAATGAATGATTCTTGTGAATAATCGATAAATAACAGTGACCAACTACAGTGAGCATCATAAGCCTTACCCCCCCCCCCTAACTAACTTGTTACTGGAGTCTTGTTAGGAAAATCGCCGAGACACGTCGATTTTTGATTTCTACAATGTACATTTTTGTATGAATAGTTTACCCTTAATTTCATCCCTTGCTGGAGGGGAGCAACTCTTTCGAAAAATTTAAATGGGGTGGTGAGTGATAGCTAATTTGAAAGGGGGTTTTATTCTCTATTCAACCGTGCAAAAAATTTTGAAATTTATTTCATTAATTCTCGACTAATTAATGTTTCAGAATAACGGAAATTAACGTAGCGCACTCATCCTTAGAATTAAAATTCGGCCCTGCATGATATCGGTTTTGGTACAGACTTTTTGCCATTAGATAAGGTCACTATTAGTTTAGTTGCTTTCCTATTTGTGATGTTTTGTTATTTTTAAACATTATTAAATCAACACGTAATGAAGCAAATTTACAAAATTTTTTGCACGGTTGAATAGAGAATAAAACCCCCTTTCAAATGAGCTATCACTCACCACCCAATGCCATTTAAATTTTTCGAAAAGGTTGCTCCCCTGCAGTAAGGGATGAAATTAAGGGTAAACTATTCATACAAAATGTATATTGTAGAAATCAAAAATCGACGTGTCTCGGCGATTTTCCTAACAAGACTCCAGTAAGGAGTTAGTTAGGGGGGTAGACTTATGATGCTCACTGTATTTACAAAGAAACCTTCCATGTTAGTGAAATAATTTAAAAAATTGTTGGCGCAAAAAGTAAGGAGTCAAAGTCCAAGATTCAAATCCTGGATGATTTTATTTTTTCGGGTATATTTTATTTAATAAATTAGTAAAAGATATATAGTTCAGGATCCATAAGTAAGGTCGACCTTCACCCATCTGTTTAATGGATAAAAGTTATTTTTTATTAAATAAAATATGTTTTTAAATATACCGCAAATGGGTTGCCTAAGAAAATACGGTCATTTTTTACTTTCCTTTCTGTGTACAGATAAGGAAAGTATAGGAATCATGATAAAAGTTGTTTATGATGTCATTCTCTATTATGTCTCTATAAATGATTTTCCTAAAATTTACCTAATTTGAGATATTTGATGAAAAGTGCAAATTTCGAATTTTGAATTTAACTCAAAAACGGATGAAGAGAAAAACACCAAATTCTGAACTTAAGCTTTAATCTATCCTGCGATGAGCTGATTAAAGTTTGGGCACAGTCAAAGCATTTGGGGACCGAATTTTCTTAGGCAACCCATTTGCGGTATATTTAAAAACATATTTTATTTAATAAAAAGAAAGTTTCATCCATTAAACAGATGGGTGAAGGTCGAACTTATTTCGGATCTTAGACTAATACATTTATATCTTTATGTTAATTATTTTTTAAATAGTTATTTTATCTTAATAACCTTTAAAATATTTTTTCAAATTTTCTTTGGCGGGTCGTGGAAAAAGTAAACTGTTCAAGTCGAGTGGATTAAACATGAAGACGAAATTTTGAACTACAAAAGAGATTGATTTTGAAATATTCAAGTGTCACTGATTATTTAAGACAACTCATCTTAAATAATAAATAGGCAAAAGGGATATTAAAAAGTTTCCAAATTTTCATTCAATAATTTTGATTAAGTTCTTAAATTTATCATTTAACTCTTAAATATCCATATCCTATAAATTTTATTGAAATAAAATTATTTTCCTACGATTACTATCCAAAGTAGGATTTGCGCTTCGAAATGCAAGCGCAAAGTTGACGTTTTCCGCGAACTGACATTTAGTGACAGCTTTGTCGCTCGCCGAGCGGAAAACTTAACAACTTTGGGCTCGCCTAATTTAAATTAGATATAATATAATAAAATTTCTTTTTAAAAAAAGATATTCAAGTTATTTGTAAGTAGTTTGATGTTTTATTTTCCAAGTTAACACGGACTTTGAATATCAATTCCATTTTTTGTGATTAACTTAGATATAGGCAACACATTATACACTACCTACGACAAGTTTTCAGTTTTTATATCTATTTTTTAAAATAATGTGATCGTAGAAAAATTCTTGTGTGCATTTTGAGCGAAAAGTACATTGCCGCGCTCCACTACGCCTCGCGTGGCCAACTTTCTGTCTCGTGCGGTAAAGTGAAACTTTTCGCTCTTAATACACAAATTGCTATTATTTTATAGATGATTCATTTTGAAATATTAAATGATTATTGGTTATTTGGTGTTTTGGGTACATTATAATAAATTTTTCTAATTTTGACAAATAAAGTGACATTTTTTTGTAATCGCAGTAAGTACCAAAATGATCAACTATTTATGCAACCACTTGCATAATGTTGAACATTATGAAACTGGTTACGAAAAATTCATTAGTCATCAGTTGCAAAAAGAACAAATAAAATTAAACCTTTTATTATTATTGAAAGTTTATATCAAACTAACTATATAAAAATAGAATTTGGTTACTGAACTTACAACCTAATAATAATATTGTTTTGTTCCTTATTTTCCATTCTAATTCAGCACAAAATAAAATACAATACACACAAAATAACCCACTTTCTTGAAAACTAAATAATTTTATTAAAATTAGAAAAAATATTGTATGCAAGACGTTACGAAATGCCGTTTTGTGTAACTCATTTCATGCGGGACCTCGTTCTGCTAGTCATGCAAATATTCACTCGTTACATAAAATAACGCATTTCGTAACTCTTCGTCAATCTCACAAACTGACGTATTTAAAAAAAAAAGGCAATTTTTTAAGATACTACTGTAGAAATACTTTATTTTTATAGTGGCGTAACTCAAGCTGTAACCGTTACGTAGTAATAGACTTCCGCGGGGACATATCTTCTTACTCAAAAGCAACAGAAAACTTTAAATTGCTCTCCTGTAAAATTAGGAAAAATGAGATAGGTTAGTTTGTGAGATTGACGTCGAACATGTTTCATAAAAAGCTATTTAATAAGCCTACAGATTAACTTACCAATTTCTCTAACATTACAAAGTCGGATATATCTTTAGATATGCTCTCCAAGCTGTTATGGCTAACGAAAAGCTGTTTCAGATCGGTTAATTTATAAAAATCTTTGGGAAACTGAGTAATTTTATTGTGGTTTAAAAATAGTTTTGTTAATTTATTCAAGCTGCCAATCTCCTCGGGTAATTCTGTTAATAAATTATCATGTAACTACAAAAGATTTATTTCACTTAAACCATCTATAATAAAAGTTAATTAGCTAGGGTTTAGTAAGGATTTAGCAAATCATAATTAAAGAACTAGGTTTTATATTTGCAAAGCAACTATATAGTTAATATACAGGAGCGGATGGGCCCACAAGGAAACCGGGAGATTTCCCGGTGCACCGATCCTACAGGCGCCGCGCATTTTTCATATACATATATTTTTTAACAATTTAAGTTATTGTAACAGACAGGGAGGAGTACTATTACCACTTTTTTGGTCAGTCCTAGTGGATGAACTCATAAAAAAGGTTAATATCTGGAGACTTCTGCTGCCTAGGGTATGCCGATGACCTGACGATCGTCGTAAGAGGTGAGTTCGCAGGTACAATATCGGAGTGCACACAAACCCCCACAAAACCACAATAGTTAACTTCACAAAACGAAAAGTACTGACAAGAAAGAGGCCAAATACTTGGGAGTCATCTTTGATCATAGGTTAACATGGAATCAGTACTTGCAAAAAGTCACCCAAAAGAGCACAACATCCTTTAGCTTATGTCGAAGGTTGTGTGGAAAAAATTGGGGACTACAACCGAAAATATCCCTATCAGAGCCATAAGGCCTATGATAACCTACGGGTCGGTGGTATGGTGGCCAAAGACTCGGAAAGCTGGAGTTATTCAATAGCTCAACGGTATTCAAAGGCAAGAATGCCTGAGTACCATGGGAGCCGTGATAACGACTCTAACAGCAGCTCGAGAAGTCATGCTATATCTAACACCACTACACATATTCATTGAAGGCGAAGCCAGGTCTGATTGCACGAAGGTCCATCACACAAGCAGTTTGCATAGACGTGACTACAGCGAGCTATATAAAGAGTTGGAGAGCGACCAAATAATGGGAATGCGTTCAGATGAAATGCTCCCAAAGTATAGCTTTCAAAAGCAATATAAAGTAAGTATACTAGACAAACGTGGACGGGAAGACCTCCTATTCACTCAAAATTCACCTGGTATACAGACGGATGCAGAACTCATCAAGGTTCAGGAGTAGGTATATATAGTACTATGCCAAAAGAATTTCACTGAGCTTAGGTAAACATGCTACAGTATTCCAGGCAGAAACAGCAGCAATACATCACTGCGTAAAAGAAGTGTTAAGACATAAGGTAAGGAAAAACCATTATCATATACTCAGACAGTTAAGCCACTGAACACACTGAAGGGTAACTCACCTTGGCCGGAAGAGTCCGCGCATCTCAGTTGGCGCACATCAAATCGCCATTGTTTAGGGTTCTGCTACGATGATGAAAAGATTTATTATCACTCAGCGTTGCGAATTTGAGAAGTCGAGTATCTAGGGTAATCTGTTGTAATACGATTTTTTATTTTTTCAGTTCCAGTTGTGTTATATTTTTTTTGTGGTTTGTGCTTGTTTAATTGTTTTTTAAACTAAAAAATGAACAAGCTTGGTTTAAAAAGTGGTAAAAGTTCGTGTGCAGCTAAGGGCTGTCGAAATACTTATAAAAATTGCAGTTATAGTTTTGTTTTGATTTCCGTCAAATCCACAAGGGTAATATTTTCAGTACCTACTCATTTTCTTATAATTTATTTCATAAAAAGTATAGTACACAGATGAATGATAGATAGATAATTGAAAATCTCCCTGGAAGAACGTTGTAACCAAGAATAGTAGTTTGTGCAACTAGAGTAGATATGAACAATCCACTTGAGTTGTACAGTATATTTTTTCTACGGCCCACTAACAAAAATCTACAAATATTAAAAATTATTTTAGGTCATAAAGATAAAATAAGTAACTAATTTAAAAATAATTTGTGACTTTTACTAATTTATAAAATAAAATAAACATGAAAAAAAAATAATTAGTCCCTAGCCCAGATTTGAACTCTGATATTTCGCATGGAAGACAAACGCTCTGATCTCACTACCATATAGGCTCGTAAAATATTTGCTTTAATACTCGTAATTAAATTGACTTCATATAGTTTTATTAAAATTAACGAATTATTTATAATTATCGACCAAATAGAAATGCTATTATTTATCGATTCTACATAATGTATACCTATTTAATCTCAATAACTAAAACATATACTTACAATTAGTTTGACAGAGTACTGTCACTTAATTAAAATTTTAAAAATAATTGTACTCGGGTTAACAAAATACGAACTGTGATTGGTGGATTTCAATATTTTACAGTGCTCTCACTACCTAGAATGGATATGAAATATATTCATTCAGTTGAACGCAATAGCATACTTTTTCATTTTGTAATCTGTGGGTAGATAAGCTAATATCCATGTGGATGTAAAAAAGATATACTGTTCAACTCGAGTGGTTTGTCCATATCCACTCTTGTTGCAGAAACTACTATTTTTTAGGAGACATGATTTATTGTTTTCTTCTTATTGTTATCATATTAAACCTTATTAATAAAATGACATTTAATATAAATTATTAATTCATAGTTTAGAAAATCCTGTCTCCTGAAAAAAATATATTTTGTTAGGTACAACGTTCTTCGAGGAAGGTCTTCTATTAATCTGTTGTCATTATAGTAGACTTGAGAACCTACTTATTAGGTTTTCCCAGAATTTGCAATTACAGGATCACAAAAATATCCTAAGACAAATAATTAGTACCTGCTTATTAGGATTAACATTAATGTGTTATCATTATAGTAGACTTGAGTACCTACTTATTAGGTTTTTCTAGAATTTTGAAGCAATATCTATTCAGGCAAACGTGTTTAAACAATTAATTAGTATGTTTAAAACAGTCTTGTTTGTTCACCCATGTAAACAGTTTCCCTATACCCATTTAATTAATTTATATGGTAGATTACGAATCTATTATGCATTAAAATATGCAAACCGAAATTTTAAAACAAATGTAAATTCACGTAAGAAAAAGGCAAAATTGATTATTTGGAGACATCAATAGAAAGCGTATTATTAAATGTATTTTCTTTAATATGAATTGTTTTATTTAACCTTTATTTTGCTCCAATGTTTTATGATCAAGAAGATGAACACACCAAAGCATCAATTTGTATGTAATACAACGTTTATTTATTAAAAATAGGAAATAATTCCAACTCAAATGTGTATCTCATGTGTCCTACACATGACTTTCCGGTAAAGTTATCAAATATATTGAGTACGGCCCATTTAATCGTGTTTAGAAAATTAATTAAAAGTGAATATTTTCTATAAATATTTTATTCGAAACAATTTTTCATATCTTTATTGCCAACAAAAATATTGAGAAAATTATAATTTTGTACTTTTCCTCGTATTTCTCGATTTCATTTTAAAGATATCAAGCATATAACAAAAATGATAGATAAATACATCACAAACAACTTTAATTCGATGATTTTCTCCAAATAACAGAAATATAACTTAAAGCAAAAAAAATCAAGCCCCTATAAAGTATCCCCATACTTCGACTATGCCCAAAATCGAATTAGCTCTTTGCAAAGTGGATTAAAATGTATATTTAAAATGTGGCATATTCTCTTTATCCAAAACATTACCGCGAAAATTGTCAAAACGGATCCGGAGGACTCCAAAACGTAATGATCAGACGAATATTTCCTCTAATTTCCTTACTAATAACTGGAAAGTAAAAAATTAAAATGAATTTTGGTAAATTTAAAGAAAATCAGTATAGCCAGTTTCTCATTCATTTCAAAAAAACAATCTCAAACTCGGGAACCTATAGAGAAAAAATCAATCAATATATCGAAGCCCCAATTTAATATATTTAATCCCTCATAAAACCAAACCGACTCTGACCAGTCCGTTTGTGCTAAGCCGGTTATCGAAAGGAACCCAATTGGACGGCTGAAGGTCACCGAAATTTGACACAGCGTTCTTATGTAATTTCTCGAGAGTTACACTTCAGTGTATTCAGTGGTTAAGCGACGTTAAAAGCACTCAGTTCTGGTACACTCAAAGCTTGCGTGGGACTGTTTGGAAGCCCTAACAGAGCTGGGTAGTCAAAACAGACTAAAAGCCTACGTATCAGATCACAAAAACACAAGAGCAACGAAAAAGCTGATTTACTAGCCCGAGAAGGAACCTCCAAGGCTCTTATTGGCCCCGAACCCTTCTCTGGTGTCACAAAGACAACTATTAGAACATGCACAAAGCAGTGGATGTTTAAAAAATCTCAGGACATAGAGAGGCCAAAGAGTTCTTAAAAGGACCATCGCCTAAACTCACCGAGCATCTACTAGGCCATAATAGGAAACATGAGTTCTAGTAGGTCTATTAACAGGACATTGTAGACTTAACAAACATATGTATAATAACGGTCTGACAGAAGAGACGTTAAATCAATTCTGTCAGGAAAAGGAAGAAACTGCAGAACACGTATTTTGCTACTGTAAAGGTCTATCACGACTGAGATTCCTTACACTTTGAGAAGAAAAACCAAGGACAACTACCTTCGCCGGAGAACAACTTCCTTAGTCAATGTAGTCTACTACAAAAGACTGAACTAGACAAGGTACTCTAAACAACGAATAGAGGATTTCTGCAATAGATCTGTAAAGGTCGAGGTGGGGGAGGCCACATGGCCCACAGTCCTAATTTTTAATCTAATCTAATGTAACATAATTTGTGAGTAAATTATTAATAAGAAAACTAAAAATGTATGTTCTCCTTCTTTTTGCTGAACCAGCGCAGAGAGCCGGTCTGAGGGGTCCCATCCACCCCTGTTAATATAGAATTTAAAAAAATAATTACCAATGAAAAAATGTTTTTAATTTTAACATGTATATATTGTTTAGCTTCTTTTTATTTAGACCCAGTAGTATCTTTTGAAACAGTATAAAAAATCTAAAAGTTAATTTAGCATTATTTGTTTACCTTATGATGAAAAATTACCACAAAACAAAATTTGCTTTTAAAATCAATTTGATTAAAAAAATATTTTTTTTGTTTATGCTGAAATACTATGGAGATCACGTTCTACATTTTCAGATATTCATCTCTTTGCAACCACATTTGAAAGTTATAGATATTGAAAAACTTTCGAAATAACGATACATTCTACTAGAATTCAGATATCTCTATTACTCAGTTTGCAAAAAAAAGGCCTGACAATGCTATATTGCGTGTACTTAAATAATCAAATCAGCATACTGGGTTCCAAATAAAAAGAAAATATTTTTTTTATTTCTTAAATATTTTTATATTATTTATTTATTAAAATTTTTTGTAACTAAATTCTACTCTACAGTATAAAGTATTATAAGCAATGCTTACATTCAACACCATCAAATCCTGGAACATGCTGATTTCTTTTGGTAGTATTGTTAGAACATTAGAACTAAGATCTAGATGAGTTAGAGGTTTTATACTCCACCATGCATCTTCTTCTTTAACTACCCTGCTTAAATCTATATTTATTTCATTTTCATTTGTTAGATCATACATCGTGAACATTTTTTCTGGCACTACAATGTTAGTAGATAGTAGAATATTTTTCAATGAGTAACAATGATGTCTATTACTATCGAGGATGTGTCGTAAATCATCCAAGAGAGTAATATCCATTATTGCAAGTTGAATACTATTATTTTTCTACAACTGTTCCCTACTCAATTCAAATGTTATACAAATCCTGGAATAATAATTAACGCGTTTGAATATCCACATCGGATGCATCTGAGATGTTGCGAATTTTTTATCACGTGATAGAGGATTATATCTGAATGTAGTTGTAATAAACAAACGCTCTGGACTTTATTGATCACGTGATAAAATGACAATGACAAGTTAGAAGTTTATAAAATTTATATTCGACTTTTGAGACTAGAAATCAACCTTAATTTGAAATCTAAACAAAAATTAAACACAAGTTAAGGATACCAGTAGTTGATAGTGCTCCAAAAGTCGACACCTCAATTTTATACTACCACAAACAAGAAAAGTCTGCAAATCTAAAACAAAATATATCACTTGGCATCACTGTTAGTACCTACCAGTGGCCCATTGAGTGTTTTATTTCATATCCCAGGTCCCAGTCATATTTTGTTAATGACACAGAGAGGTAACATTGAAAGTAACTGCATCAGGTGCCATTTTGTGCAAAGTTGTTGTGCGACTTAGTAAAAATATTCATTACTTTTAAATTATGACTGTACTAGTAATAGCAATGGTTAATAGAATATATTTGTAACAAGAAAAAACCGGCTTGTCGACTTTTGGAACAGAAAAAAAGATATAGTTGTAGTAGTCGACAGACATGTCGACTTAAGGATATTTAAATAATATTAAATGGGTTGGTAGGTATGTCAAATATTTTATGACATTCTGCCTACTACTTGTTTGAAACATTCGATCATGTATTGGAATAGATACGCCTTGTTTACATAAACAATTGTCGTATGATAATAAGGTCCACAATCGCATGCACAACAAACTGTGGTACCAGCAGAGGTTGCCGCAGTGTCACTTTCGGTTAAACGTATAAGGATAATAATTATTAGTTCCCAATGTTTCAAGGTTCGAAATACTTAATATGGAGCTTAATATTTAACAGTTCCTTTAAGAATCTTAATCATATTCATAAAATTTCTCATTTAATTTTCTTCTGCATTGAATCGGTGTTTAAATTAGATGTTTTTAGATTTTGTTCACTACGATCCATCGGTTTAACCATTAAATACTATATTTTAACTGGACATTTGGCAACCCTGTTTCTGTATGTTTTTAAAAGTGTCATTCGGTGTTTTATTTTAGTGAAATATTCTTGTTTTATTTATTTATATGAAAGAAATTATTTACAAACGTGATTATACATTTCAAAACAGTAAAGAGATGCATAGTTTTCCGAACATTTTGGACCAAAAACACCCAAAACCAATGCTTGCTATTTTCACAGGTAGGTTATGTCAAAATCAATCTCATGAAATGTAAATAATGTAGATATCCATGGGCGTAACAACTGTGCTAGGGTTTTTTATTTCTTGATATAAAAATACCTAATAGTAGAAACTGGATATTTTATGGTATATACGTTTTACACGTTTCCGAGAGACATTGTCTAATGTCATTGTGGCTGAACAACTTGAAAATAAATGAGCAAGATCTCAAAACTGAAAGATGCCAAAGTTTGTTCAGATCACTTTTCACATGAAGATTTATTTAGCTATAATAAAATCGAACATTTTATTTGAAATCCAATGTTTTGTTAATAGAGTAAGTAAACAAGTGCGTCTTTATATACAAACTTTCGTATTGATATAGGTAAAAAGTAATTTATAAGTATTTATTGCAAACGTCTACTTACACCTAGTTAAACAATTCGTTTCTGAAACAAAGTGTTATTGAGGTCTAAAATACTGTGAAAAATAGCTTAGAACTGTTGTCTCCCACTTGTAGTTTAATAAACACAAAGTATACTTTTTGATTATATTAACCCATTATTGAAAACATATTTTTTTTAGTACATACTTCGTTGTGGGAAGTAGTATAGAAAATGTATATGTGTGAACGTATGATGATTATATTCGCTCAGTGCGAAGTTATGGTAGGGGAAGCAAAAGCGATACTAGCGCAAGCTGCAGATAATTCGACCACTTTAGGGCGATATTTTGTAATTTTGGCGTATCAAATACACGTATACATTTTACTTTTTTTGCAAAAAAGAAGCAAGAACAATGTAATAAGCAACCGTAGTTGGTGTGTACTAGAAGTAGAATCTCCCAAGGTATTTATTTATTTTTATCTTCTAAAAAGTAAGTTTTCACTTCTTTTACAAAATTAAATTATTTTCTAATTTATTCTTTTTTTTTTAATTTATTCGGGTTCTGTGAATTAGAAAAGGAAACATCAATTCACGTCCTGCACTAATGTGAAAGCCTAACTAGATTGAGATTTCTTATACTAGATGAAGAAAAGCCAGACATATGTGACTACATACATGTGGATGCCACTGTCAAGGAAAATAAGTCTAATAAAAAAGTCCAAGCTTAGATGACAAACTCTAAAACAAACAGAGTCCCACAATAGATCTGAAAAGGTCGCGGTGGACACGTACACATAATGTCAAACTCCTTTTAAATCTAATATCTAAGCTACCCTTATTTTTGACAGAAGCGTCGTGACATGCCACTCATATTTTGGTAAACCTTTTTTGTACAATTGCTATCGCATCATAATTTTTACGTAAAAGTCTTCAGTATTCTAAGAAATTCATGTATTCGTTTAATTGGGCATTTAGAAGCAAATTGATAAGAAAATATTGTTTATTATTCGCACTTAAAAGGAGCCTGTATAATAATTGCATATGGTTACAACGTTGCCAATTGTCAATTAAAATGTTGAATATTGCATAAAACCATGGAAGTGTCTCTTTTTTCGAAATATCAGTATACAATTTCAAGACAAAATAATCAAAACGATAAACCCCCTTGGATTATGGAGGAACATAATAATGATCACATATGCGCGGGGTACTGCCTAAATATAACCAATGGGTTTTGAATTGTAAACAATTTTTCTGCAGGTAAATATACTAAATACTTATGGTATCTAATACCGACCAATTTAAAATGAGTTGTTTACATGTAGTAATTATTAAGGTAGTTCACGCGCGACAGTCGTACACAAAAATATCGCCAATAGTTTGAGATTCTCAATGCTGAAAAATGTTATTTTTGTAAGATACTGAACACAACACATGTAAGCTTATGTACGGATACGTTATTATTTCAAGTAAAATCCATCCGGCAACGTCACAAATATAGGAATGGTGCGATATCAAGTGTATACCTATAGACATTTTGTGACTTCCTCATATTAATTTTAAGGTTTTGTTTTGGTTCAAACAGAAGCGTCGATTCCAGTTCTCAAATACAGTAGACAAATTAATTTTTCAAGAACACTTCACGAGGTTATAACAACCTCTTAGCTGATCGAGTGTAATTCAGTGATTCTGAACTAACAATGTTGCCAAGTTGTAATCCAGTTGTACCCCACTACGCGTCGACTGCTTTAAACATATTTTTTCTTTTAAAAATCTATCTTTTTACCAAAACGGTCAAAAAATTCAACGTTTTTTTAGAAAATTGTATAACTTTCTGATTTACATTACATTAGTTTTTAAAAAAATATATTAAGAACTGTTTTCGAAATATCTTGAAATAAATGCATTACTAATGTACATGACAGGCTTTAAGACTGTTAATTATGCACAATTTCATTGTTAATATCTCGTTTCACAGACGGTCAAAAAAAAAATTTTTTTGTTAGGTACGTAAAAGACATTTTCTTTAACCTTATATTTTAATTTTATTGAACTCTTAAGAAAAGTCGTCTTGCGAATGAACTACTTTAAATATTATTTAAAAAAAAAATGAAAATAAATCTTGACGCTTATTTTTAATTATATATAATATGTACCTATTTATTGTAGGTTTTTATTTGCATTTAAATTTTTAAAAAATAGCCATCTATCCAAATAAAACCATTTTAAATAAGGGATTCTTATTATAGGTACTTAAAAATATCAGAAAATGTCAATCGACGCTACCCATTTTAAATTAGTCACACCACTTCATGCATTGTCAGAATTGTTAAAATAGAGAACAAACACAATGCCATTATTTCTTCTGTTCCCTCTAACTCGTGTACGGCAAAATGTTGCTAGAGTACTTTGTAAATAATAAAGTTCATTAATCTCCGTAATTAGGGAGAGTATTATTATTATTTGTGTATAACTATTTTTGGTTGATAAATAAAATGCTTTAATTGGTCTTTATTTTATTTCATAAAGGAAGGTATGTAGTCAGAAATATGTATAATATTCTTGCTTTACATATAAAACGGGTTCTTCACAATATTTTTTTATTTTCTTTTCTCCTTTATCAGTCAAGCTTTATAGTAGGTATATTTACTCAAAATGTATATAAATTGTTTAAAGTACAAAATTAATAATCCTATAAAATTGAGTAAATAATATACAATATGACAAGCCTGTGCATGGTCTGTGTAGTATCACAATACTGTGAAAAACTATTCTTACATTGAAAGTTAAAAATATACGCTATAAAACAATATTTTTAAAATCATGTCCATCCGCTTTCATCTAACATTTTATAGTAATTAACAATATATAACCCCTTCCATACGGTACGGCACTGCTAAGTTCTCCGTTTGTATACCTTTCCTCTCTCCCCGTCTAGATAATCATTAAACCCATTACTTCCACAGGTAAGGCGTATCTATTCTAATACATGATCGAATTTTGAAACGAATATTTCAAGTGGATCCAAAGCCCGACATGGCATGTCGACTTTTGGAGAATGGCATGTCAAGCATATGATCTGCTGATTTATTTGTTTATTAACCGACTTCAAAAAAGGAGGAGGTTCTCAAATCGTCGCGATATTTTTTTTATGTATGTTCAGCAATTATTCTTTAACACGGTGTCCGATTTTAATGATTCTTT